GCATCACCAAAGCTTTGAGAAATGGGAGGAATGGACTGGAATGGGACAGGAGCTGCATAAATTTACATGTAGAATCTGTAAAATAGTTGAGCACAAATTCTTTGTTACAAATAAACACAAATGTTGAAGCTAAGGCAGATAATACAACAAAGAARCCAGTAGAGAAAGAACTAAAAACTTAGCTTTCTTTTTAAAATATATACAAATGAGAGAGACATTTGCTATACATGGTAAGAGAAACGGGGGGGTTGGTAAAAGCAGTGTGAACATAAGTGTGGGTAGGGTCACAGGTCATGTGAGATACTCAAAGATCTCTGGATGCACACAACTTCAGCTTAACATTTTGTTGAGCTGCTAATGTTTCAAAATGTACAAATGGATAAAACCACAGCTGAGCAAAARTAYGTTAKTATCTRTAAGTTTGACYGATTAGCTGAATAGAGTTGACCTCATGCAGAGTACATACAGTGAGTACTTTTGAGAGTTTCATTGAAACCTATTCATTAGATATTTTTCTAACAGACAGGGTTGACTCCATGTGTTGGGGATGGCTCAGCTAATATCACATAATTTTTTAAGCTCAATATCTGTAAAAGTTATTTAGTTGTAGTTGTGTTTGTTTCCTAAGATCAGCTGGCATTGGTAGCAATCTAACAAGTGGTTCATGCGATATTTTGCTAACAGACACATRCACAAAAGGCAAAAASAGTCACTGGGCAGCAAGCGGTAGACACATTCATGATGACATCGAAACTTTGTTATCCCAGTTTTTGTAGCATTACAGTTAAAGATATTAAACCTTTGGGCAGGGTTTGAGCAAGCTGTGATGTCAACATRGTGAAGTTGTTGTTTATACTGGCACTTGAGACAACCTACACTCAGCCACTATTTCTCCTAATAAGCTTTGAATGTGAAGAACGGTACATCTACAGATCAAGAATGGCAAAAAAATATTAGTGTAGACGAAGCACAATCCTCATATAAACAAAACAACACAGTATCAGCTCATCTGTTTTACCATTAAGCAAACAGGTTCCAGTGGAAACACAACCTGTTGCAGAATTTTCCTTGTTTCTCATTTTGTTAAACCAGAAAGCAACAGGTCGCTGAAGTGATACAAACCTCTGTCATCTTCATTTTACCGTCTTTTACACTTTTTCACAGAACTAAAGTCAATAATATCTTCAAATGCATACTGTYCCTTCAGTCAAAATGAAAACGCAAACTGAACCATTCTATAGATTTTCATCTATTAATTAAACATTTGGTAATCAGTTTGTGATTTAATTGGATTTTCTTAATGTTTCAACACTAAAGTCGACAAACAAAGACAGACTTCACAATTACTCTCTATGAATGTACACTGCTGGGGTTTTCACGCCAGGTGTGGAGGATCAGTCATGACAAAAACATCTTCCCATGCAAGGGAGAAGTKTTGACAAAAATATATTTTGGATAATAAAAGTCCAAACACATAAATGATCCAAAGTCGTCTTCTGAATCCTACGAACCAGAAAACGATTTCAAATGTCTTGGTTTCCTTGTGTATACAGCATGTTCTGTAGTTCAGGAGAGGCACAGCTGTTGGAGCATGTGTTTTGTTCAGGTGTCACAATGTGATTGCATTGGAAGGTGCAATCTGTAACCTCAGTGAACCAGCACTAGCATGCTAGCTTTTGTTTACACTGTAGACAGACAGAGACATCCTYACAATAGAAATGAAGTCTAGGGTAACTACACTTTCTACGTGGGTCATTTTTATTTTAGCTTGACTACCTAGCTAGATTCAGCATTTATTATATTTTTATTTTTATTTAATTATTTTTTGTTATTTTGCATCTTTCCATGCCCTCTCACCATTTCGCTGCCCATCCCCCTTCTTGTCCCCCTCCTACACCCAGACTCCACCCCACCCCCATCACGATCCCTGTGGCTTCAGCCCCCACCTCCATCCCAGCCGCCCTCTTAGCCTATATACTGGTCGTCTGCTCGTCTGCACCGCTAGCCCTGCGACTCATGCCACGCGCACGTGAACGCCGCCTTCTGCAAGCCTCATTTGGTTCAGACGCGACCATCAAGCCGACAGTAAACAATGCTGCTACTTGCCTTGACGCAGGAAATGAGACCCCTTTTCAAGGCTTGCCGAGGGTGAACAGTGAGCTTTCAAAACCAGGTAGAAAGCAAACAGAGCAATCCCTTGCCACTTCCTCCCGCTACCACTCCGGCTGCTTACAGCTGGCAGGAAAACAGAGAGAGGAAAACAAAGATTGACTCTGAGGGAAAGAGGGAGCTGCAGAGGCGGCGGGAGGACGYGAGACCAGTGGTGTCGTGAGTCGGGGGGCTCAGGAATGGGAGCAGGACAGGGGGAGTGGAAGACTGGCTGGTATAACAGGAGAATGAATGCTGCACTCACATGGAGTGACCACAYTGGGGAGAGGGTGGGTGGGACTGCTGGGTTTCAAATCTGATCAGYGTTTTGTAACAAATTTCTCTGAGACAATCACCTAAAGATGAACATGTCTCATGAAACTAACTGTAAATTCAGTTTGTCATTCAATGGTGTTAAAACTTGTACTTACCCATATTAACACTGCAAAGAGTTTTAGGACYTATGGAGTCAGTTTGGCTAGGCTAAGCTGGAAAGAAAACGGTAACTGAAAGTGTTTTAAGAGTCAAAAACAAAATCAATTTTAGGTTTGAGTATCTCTTAGTGTTGTACAGTCAGTGTCGTTTAAAAGCTTTTGAAAAGCAACTTTCCATAAAAGACACAGCACGTAATTAGGGTTGGGGAAAATTGTATCCTGTGCAATTGTCAGAAAAAACTGTTAAAAATTAATATTTGCCACTTTGCATTTACCACAATTACACACTATCACTATAAAGCAYGCATGTGAGCCCATGGTACAATGCTGCCACTCAACATTATGGAAAAGGTGGGTAAAATAAAGAAGTTAGTTTGAATGATGATTTGYAAGGATAATTTTAGAATACAGGGTAACTGATTTAAAACATGCACGTGAAATTGTCATCTATCTATTGTAATATTAATTGCTATCAGCTAAATGACACAATAATTGAGGGGTTTTTTTTGCCAATAATGCCCAACCTTACACCAGACCATTGTAAAGCCCTGTCTCACATTTTCTGTTACTTTTTAAAACACGTAGAACATTTAAACATATTGAGCACCAGGGATGAGCATCTGGTGAGAAAGTAATGTGTTTATTTATTTTCTAAAACATCTAAAAAGAGAATGACTGTCTTCACCTGATTAACTTTTGTGAGTTGACACAGCTAATCAATCCTAGCAAATACAAACGTGCCTGGAGCTGTCATTTTTAAAGACAATGGGCCTCATGCAAGAACCGTTCGTACGCACAGATTTGTTCTTAAGTTGTGTGTACGAG